ATCCTAGCACTTTGCACAAGAAGACTTTTCCAGAAGTCTTCACAGCTATGAGAAAATTTTGGAAGCGATGCCATTCCCTGCTACATTATCACTATTTAATTCATGTGTGCTAATGAATAAATGTAAGATCATTTTTTGGTATTTTATACAAAACTTAAAAATCAGAGTCTCCATCATGTTCATATAGGTTGCATGACAAGAAGCGTGACGCTATGTAAGCTTCCTGGCAGAAGCCTTTACAAAGTTACAAGCATACGTACATGCTGTTAGCATCTTTATAACTTGGTAAAATGCTTTACTCATTTTTATTCACTTTTACCTGGCACACCTCTAGATACATTTAAATTGGCTTTGCAAATGAGTCTGTGGAAACACAGAAGTTTAAATGGAGCAAGCACATGGTGTTTTTTTTCCTTCTTCCCCCCCCCACTCCAGATCGTAAAAAAGACTTGGTAAAGCTACAGGCTGGGGAATACGTGTCTCTGGGCAAAGTAGAGGCAGCACTGAAGAACTGTTCATTGATTGATAATATCTGTGCTTATGCTAAAAGGTAAGAGTAGTATTAACTTTGTGTAAACCGAAATACAAGCTGTGACACTTCTATACTGACATAGCATGGTTTTCATTGAACAAAAGCCCCCACCAGAGCACGAGGTGTAAGTAGCATCTCTAAAGTAACACACATAGGCTCCAAGATTCCCTGAAACTGAAAAAAGTAACTTATGCTTTTCTGTTGGCATTTCCTCTATTGTAGTTCAGTCTAGTTTTGTTAAGTGTGGGACAGGTATAATTTAGCACGTGCTTTGGCTTTCTGTCAGAATACGAAGGAAAATTCATCCAGACTTTCTGCACCAGAACTAAATCTCTGAGTTTTGGAAGTAGCCAAATAGCCCAGGCGTCTCCTCCCCCCCTGCTTATACACAGTGTGAAGGGAAGCTGCAGAGAACTAGTGAAACATATAGTTGGAAAGCTAGATTATGCTGTTGTTTCTTAGATCCTGAGCTTTGATAAGTCATCAGTTGTGAAAACCTTCAGTAAAAAAGGATTTTGTATGCAGGATTAACTGCATTTCAAGAAGCACTGTGGATCTGTGTATCTATAATCAAGCAAGCATTTTATCCTTGAAATTGAAGCTTCAACTGTTTTTTTTCCCTTCCTTCTCTTGCTATCCTGTGGTAGTGACCAGTCTTATGTGATCAGTTTTGTGGTTCCCAATCAGAAGAAGCTGACGGCATTAGCTGAGCAGAAAGGTATAAGTGGAACCTGGGTTGAGATTTGTAACAATCCTACAATGGAAGCTGAAATCCTACGAGAAATTAAGGAGGTGGCAAACAAGAGTAAGTAAAATGCCAATCTCACAGCACTTACTAAGGCAAAAGTTTTCAGTTATCCCCACTGACTGCTTTCCTTTTTCCTGTTACCTCAGTCTACCAAAACTTAGAGGAGTTTTAACAGAAAGACCACGTCAAATTCATACCTCTTATTCCACGAATAGACATACTTTTGGTCATCTTAACTACTTCCTCTTTATGTTATTTAAAAAAAAAAAAAAAAAAAAAAAAAAAGCTTTTTTTTTTCCAATTAGCTTGTAAAGAAAGGCTGCATGTTTAACGCAGTGAACTTCCCTTCCAAACCTTTTGGATCTTAACAAGACATTTGCGGCATGAAAATTAGTTAAGCAAGACATTTCAAAGCTTTTTTCCATGCAGTGTTGTGTATTACTGCTTAGAACAACTATGACCCTTATGTTTACAACAGCTTAATCCTACTGTCCTTGCTACAGAGATAAAAATGATCCAAAACCTCATCCGTTCTTTATGGGGCCAAAAAACCCCCAAGCTAACTGGGATCAGGAACCTCTCTAAAGTGCTATGCACCTCTTACATGGAAACAATAAAACAGTGTAAGCATACATTAAGCACAAGCCTCTCAAAATTTGCCTTTTGAAACCAAGAAATTTAGAATGAAAGGCAGTATTAAATCTTCCCTGAAAATAAATGAAATTTTTTTTAAGGATTTGACTGAAGTATGAACGCTTTAATCTACATGATTCCATCATGAACTAAGTAAATAACATAAAGCATTGTTGCACAAAGTCACTGTCATACATTTTTTACTTTCTAGACAATAGTCTCCCATGCAGATATAATTGCTTTGAAAGGTTTTTTCGAAAATCACCTTAAGGAGGCAGTTTTGTTTTTTAGCAGTACATACTGCACCTTTCCCAGGAGCAGACGTGTACCTGAACATGAGGAAGCAGGACGGTCCAATACCAGCTTGAAGCTGGAGACGAAGGAGCTCGTAGGCTCAGATGTCCCAGCTGTCCTACACTTGCTGCCACCTAGAGGCTGTGCTGCCACAAGTTGTGCCAGAAGCTCACAGAGAAGTCTCAGTGGGTGCTATTATAGGTCTGCACGCAGGGCCTGACAGCAAGGCCCGTGCAGTAGTGCACACGTGCAGGAGTTCCTGCCCCGTTCCTGGCGCAGGGGAGGCCCGCGGGCAATTATCCATCTCCCCCCTCACTCACCCTATAGCCTTGTGACAGCAGTCTTGCATCTTCATGGTACAAACTTACTTCTTTCAAGCTTTAGATTTTATACTCTCACATTCAATACAAGGTATAAATACAGTATCTTACTAGAATATTTGCATGCTGTAGTATTGACACTGAGCTGTGGTACACAATTAAACTTGTGTACCGTCTTTTGGGTTACTTCATCAAGTAGGTCACCATATTATACATACTAGAATACTTGCCTTAGATGTGTAGTTAGCATGAATGTTTCATTTAACAGTGTTACTCACGCTGTTGTTTCTTGCTGTCCCTGCAGTGAAATTAGAGAGGTTTGAAATACCCATCAAAGTGCGGTTAAGCCCTGAACCGTGGACTCCAGAGACTGGGTTAGTAACAGATGCTTTCAAGTTGAAAAGGAAAGAACTGAAAAATCATTACCTCAACGACATCGAAAGAATGTATGGAGGCAAATAGGCTGAATTGACTAGACAGTTGTGCAGAGGGTTCTTTATCATGCCTTGACTTTGGATGTCCTTGTATACTGTAGGTATCACATGTATTCAGAAAATACACCAAATTGATGAATGTTTCTTATCTCTAAAGAGAGCAACAGGGAAGATCTTAAACTCTAAATTCCTACTTAACAGCAGAAAATATTGATGTGTTTTGGAGTTTCATGTGATTGTTTCCAGTTTTAAGACAGACATAATTATATGAAGCAGTATGGCCGGGTAATTTCATTATTCTTTCTCTAGCATGTTCAGACTACTTGCAGTTTCTCTAATTCATTGTGAAGCCTGGCACGTAGGGAGAAAATGGGTACTTCAACTTCAACCTTCTCCATTTAAAAATAAAAAAGACCCTAGTCAAGAACATGCTAGAGATCACTAATAATGGACTGCTTAAAAATGGATGGATTCTTCCGCACATCAGTTATCTTCAATATTTACAGTGCCTATAAGAGAATAAAAAATACACTTACCTTAAATACAGGTGAACTGAAAATCTTTCTAAAGAAAAGTTATTTGAAAACATCACTCAAGAGCATTGAGTCAACTATCCCAAGTTCTACTCACCAAACACTTTTGTACTTGCCACCACATTTTAACTCCAGCAGAGCTTTCCACTGGGACATAGCTTGAAAGAAAACAAAGACTTGCCTTGCTGCAGGAGGTACTGATGAAAATGAACAGCTGAATGCAGAACGCAAAATCTGCATTCTGGCTGGCAGACAACAGCAAAATTGATGGGCAGTTGTCTCTGAACAGATTTGAAACTCAAAGGAGAATTTGTTCTTTTTCTTTTGGAGGTGGCATGGGGCTTTTATTTTAAAGGCACTGATCCTCTAGGCCTTTGCATACATGTGAATAATGGTACAAGTTATTTCCATGTGGTTTACAGGATCAGGGTCTGAGTATCTGTAGTTACCTTATGGAAAGGGATTTCTGTTCACCTTTTAAAATACAGCATCCAAAACAAAGCCAACCAGAAACCAATAGCAGGTTCTCTGTGTCTTGTTTTACTTAGACAAAGTACGCTGTGGCTGGGAAAACCTTTAAGGAACTAAAAAAAAGGGACAAATCACTATATAGAAATCCTTATTAAAAAGTGTTCTTACATTAACTGGAAATTGTAGGTGTGCTGAAATGGGAGGTTATAATTTAATAACTGTTTATCATTTTGTGTGCAGCATCCAGTACTGTGTTTCCTTTGACTTGCAGTAACTGAGCTCCCACGTCCCCGCTAGCTCTTCACACTTGAACCACAAACGCTGTAAAAAAGTGGAGACTCTTGATGCTGTTCTACTTTGCACTTTTCTTAATCCTGTGTGTTGCGTTCATTTTGTACAGGTGTGGCTCAGCTGCTATATATTACAAATTCATTTTAAGTATTTATAGATTTCTTCTATTCCTAATGTGTTGTGTATATGATGGCTAAAAAGGAAAATTATTTGTTATTGTCACTGTACAGAAAGTAAAAGGTTTTGTGTGATGCTTCTCTTTAGCATACTGGCACATCTGTGGGTTCATGAAGGCAGGAATTACTTTCCCTTCCAGTTGCAGCTTTCCAAGTGACTCAGTTCTGGAGCTATGTTAGCAGCCTCCCATGTTTCAAACCAGTCGCTGTTGCATAACCTTTAGGCAGCCTGTTAGCATCACAGAAGTTAGATGTGTAAGAAAGTTACTCGCACTTGAGTCTGTCAGCAAGTTGTAAGATTTTCTTTTTTAAACCATGAATGTATTTATATGAAATGTATTTTATCTTGATTCCTGCTATCTTCTGTGTCTCGGCTGACTGAGAGTTGCTATTTTCAATGTATATATACACACACCACGCTGACATTTCAAGAACAGAATACAGTTGAAATGGTTAACCAAGTTTGTGTTTCTGGAGTGTTTTGCATGTTGTTTCCAGTTAATGGTCAGCACCTCCCATTCTCTTTGCAATGGAGCATACCGTAACAACAGGGCTTAGCAGAAGCAGCAGCTCAGAAGAACGTACCCGAGGGTAAAAAAGAGCCCTGATGTAGCAAGTGCTGCAAAAGGATTTGTTCAATCAGCTTCTCACGTATTTTTGGAGAAGGGGGAAAAAGTGAGGGAGGGATTACACTAGGCTTGCTTCAGTTGTAGCATGGAAGTGATTTGCAAATACAGTGCTTGCATTTTGGGAAGAGCTTCTACTAATTCTCAAATCCTTTTGTGACAGAGCTTGTAGAAAAGCAAGGAATGTAGCAAACGTGATTAGCCTCAGCTACACCTAACATCACCTCAGAGGGCCAAAGGAGCTGTCTCCAGGGGACAGGAAGGAGAAACAAAGTAAGCTTACATCAAGGGTCATTTAGGAGTCAAAGCAAAGAACATTTTGAAAATAAACCCAGAGCTTTAAATTAATTCCTTATTAAATACTGAACTAGTTGCTCAGAATCACCACCACTTAAAGTCTCTACAGCATCAGAGTCAAAGGTTTAAATGAACACCTTTCAAGCATGGCTTTAACACAGGACCTCAGGTAAGAGCTGGGGGAGAGATTTGCTTCCTGTACAAGTGCAGCAGGTGCCCTTAATTGGTTTAGCATAAACAGGGAAAGTGATGGCCATTCCCTTAAGAGCAGGTTAAGTGGTGTTTAGGCAGCCCAGGCAAGCCAACACACAGAGCCCCAGTTCCCATCAAAGGCTTCCCGAGCTGCATGCATGGCACAGGACACATTCTGAGACCACGGGTCATCAGTTCTGGCAGAACCAAACCAACACCTCCCCACCTCCTGGAATGATTGTTTCTGGTAACCACGCTGCTCTAATGATGGATTAGTCACGTTCTGCAACTACAGGCAATCAAAAAATAAATTCTGGTCACGCATTTATGTATTTAAGGAGCCTGCCTATTAGTTAAGTGCTATTTACATGAGAAAATGTGTTTAAATTTTAGCCCATGAAATGGAAACTCAAGAAACTAAAAGAGACAACAAAAATGATACAAACAACAACATTCCAGTGCTGCTTTTGCATAAAATGCCACAAAGGTGGTTTACAAAATGCAATCCATAAAGCTCTCAGCCACTATTAACATGGAATGCTAAAGGCTGGGCTCAGGTATTTGACACCACTGTGAAGATACCTGAATTAATGAACAGAACGCTTTCCCAGTTAACTCAGAGCTGCTGCACAGTAGGTCATTGGTTGGTTTATTTGTTTGTATTGAACACGATGGGGTCACACTGGCCATGGCAAGCATGTTTGCTGTTGGACCATCATCGTCACTTCACTTGATTTGAACGAGTGCTGGCAGCAGAGGGCTGCTTCATCTCTGTACTGCTTTTTTGCTGGGAGCTGCAGCACACAGAACCTTGCTGCACCTGTACTGCGGAAGAGAGATGTCTGGAAGAAAAATTAGATCTGATCTATGGTGGACACTGACAAAAACAAGTGTTCTAATGAAGCCCGCAGCAAATTACCCCAGGTAATTTGTCAAATTTGCATTTACTTTGAGATGTTAGCCTTGACATGAGGCCAATGCCCATTAAAGTAAACAAAGTGAGCTCTGGGGCATGCTGATCCTCAGAGCCCTCACACTTCTAAAGAAAAGAAGCAAATACTTCAACAACAGAGCAGCACAAAACAAAAACTGTTGAATTTTCCATTTCTTCTCCAATTTTGAACTACTGCTACCAGTGAGCTGCTGAGCCTACATAGGAACTAAGCCCAGCAACATCTGCAACGAGTCTCACACCACAATGACACCTCACAGCAGAGCCCCAGGAGGTGTTGCTGGCTTGTGTTTGTTTGAGATGTGGTATCTAACCTGCCTCTTCCTGTTGGCCATGGATCAGTTCCTTACTGAGGCCCCCCCCACAGAGTGGGCACGAAGAATAGGAATACTGTTCTCCTCAGCTGCCTGCTCTACTTTACTTTTTGTTCTTGGAGTCAAAACAAACCCAGTATTTGCTCCTGCAGTTCTAAATGGTTCTGCACAATGAAATTGAGCATCTTCTTTCTACTTGCAACAGAAATGGCTGCCTGTGGCACACCTCCCTTTGGTCCTGATGAAGCACGATGCCTGCACATCCCTAACCAAGCATGGCTCTGAAGGGACGTGGTTTTGTAAAAGGGCTCTGCAGAGAAAATCAAAACGGGGCACCTACACACACAGCAGGAAGACACAGCTGTCCATATATACGGAGATAGATATATGGACAGGCTGTGCCCCTGTGCCACAGCCACCTGTGAGCACAGCAGACACTGAGCTCAGACAGCAACAGGACGGGCCAGCTGGGAACAGGGACACATGAAGAATTCATATAGAATTCAAAATCCACAGCCATGGGCACAGAGCTCTGAGGAGAAAAAAGTGAAGGGCTTACTTGTGCCACATCCTCAGTCCCTCTCCACCACACAGGTAGGGAGCAGCCCAACACCAGCCCACCGATATTCAACACTCAAGTCCTTCAGGTCCAGAGCAACAGCCTCTGCAGTTAATTACTGTTTGAATTACTCCAATTCCGCCGTATCTGAGCTGCTCTCCTTCCGGCTGAATCTTTCAAATGGATGACGTTTTCCTTTCTAGAGTAAGGATACGCATTTGACTGAGCTGTGAGGCTGTGGCACGGGCTCCCCAAACACGCTCCCAGCACCACGCTCTGCTCTGCGTGGCAGCGCTGCAGGGAGGACCTACAGCAGGAGCGCACAGCAGGAGGCAGAGCCCCGCGGCTTTGGGCGGAGCCTCAGCCCTCCCGCACGCACCGTTTCTGACCGAGCTCCGGGCGGATCGGCGCGTCGCCGCCAGAGCTCGGCGCAGCCCGCAATGAACTGCAGCGAGGCGCGGCGGCTGCAGGCGCTGCTGGGCGCAGTGCTGCGGGAGCTGCGCCGCGGAGCCAACGCCAGCGCGGCGGCCGCCGAGCCCGGGGCTGGGGGCGACGCCTCGCTGTACATCCTGCTCATCATGATCTTCTACGGCTGCCTGGCCGGGGGGCTCATCCTGGCCTACACGCGCTCGCGGAAGCTGGAGTCCAAGCACGACCCCTACCACCTCTACATCGAGCGCGACTGGGGCCGCGGCGGCCTGGGCCAGGCGGCCGAGGAGGGCGGACCGGCCGAAGAGGAGCGGCCGCTGTGAGCCCGGGACGGCAAGTTGGCGGTCCTGCCGCCCTGTAACCGGGGGCTGGCCGGTACCGCTTTCCGCAACAAAAGCCTGCGCTGCCTTGCGTCCAGAGAGCATCACGTATCCCTACAGCTGCAGACATCCCTCAAAATCGGCGCGTGGGCCGTTCTCTCACCGCACCACCGTCACGCTAGCTGCCGCTTTCTGACAGCAAAGCTACAGTTCTAAAGCCCTTCCTCAACTTGGCAGCTGCAACGTTGCAGGGAATGGCCGTACATCAGCTGCACGAGGTGACGAGGGGTTTTGTTTTTACAAAAACCCTGAAATTACAGGAGCTTCACATCATGAACCACTGCACCAGGACCACAGCAACGGGGCCTCAGTCACATCAGAGCTTCCGCAAGGAATTCCTTCAACGCAATCAGAATTAAGCTGACTACAACCAATGTTCTCCCATCACAAAGAGCAAATTACTACACATCCAAACCCTTTTCAGTCCTGTCCCAGTGAAGCGTCCACCAGCAGGACCACGGCCTCCACGAGGCGTTACAGACCAACAGCTCAGAAAGTACTGCAAACCTGCAGAGCTCACCTCAGCTGGGCAAGGATAGGGAAGGGGCTGTCACCATTTCCCAAGTACGAGACTTGCACACACTGACTTGGCACAGCCCATCCTATGTCTGCCCCCAGCCCTGCGCCACATGGCAGCAGCTCGTCACACTGAGCAGCTGGCAGGAATCGGCAATTCATCTTTGCAACTCATTCTCAGTTGATGTAAATCCATTACCTGGGAATTTTCAAAAGAAACGCACAGAGCTGCAATCAGGCATTCAGCTCAAGTACTTTCATAAGCCCTCTGTTACCAGAGAAAAACACCCCTCATCCACCATCACACCCAATTCATTGCTTTTTGCCGGTACGTGAACAACTGCTTTCGAGGAGGAAGCACAGGAGTCAAACTTCATCAGAAATCTGACAAACATGAGAGCCACTGCCACGGCACCGAGCTGACACACTGCTCTCACAAAAACAAGGTCACACATCCCATTTGTTTCATGGTTCTGTTGCTTTTTAAAAATATATTTCAATTAAAACATTAAAAGTTAAAATAAGTTCTGTTACTTATGTACATTGAGTACAGTATATATTTCACATGGGCTGCTCTGAAAGTAACGCCCCCTGTTTACGATACTGGTCCTCAACAGGGGCAGCAGCGGTGGGATGGCAGCAGAGGGCAGATACCTTCCCAGCAGTATCTCATTACCTGCTGCTGCCTGTGGCAGATGGCAGCAGAGGGGCAGTCTGACACGGTGGTGTCTGACGTGAGGTGGGATGAAGCAAAGGGGTGGAACTGAATTCCTCCATGAATGTCAGCTGCCACTCATTACTGCTCTCTGCATGTTTCCAGAGACCACGCAGCACTGTGAGCACAGTGAGGAGTGGGATTTTGATGAGCATGCAGGCTCTCGTTCATTGCTGGTGAAAACACAGCTGATAAAAAACAGTGCTTTGTAGCTGCAAATTTGCTCTATCGAGTAGTTATGTGCTCTTTGCATCTGTTGTTGCATCTGTGGAAATAATGAGGCGGCACTACTTTCAGAGACCTACATACACGTGGCCCAAAGCAATTCCTCTTCACTCAGTGTGGCCCAGGCAACCCAAGAGGTTGGACATCCATGTGTTAACGCTTCAACACATTCAGCATTTAAATGTGCTCTCAGTATGTTTTATTTAGTATCAGTCACTATTTTCCACTGCTCCATTCTACAGATTACCACACAATAGATGTGGTGGTCCCCCTGCATCAGCACCCAACCAACACCACCAACTACGTATCTTCACAACACAACTCACCCCCCAAATAACACATGATACACCACACTTAGATCCTGTCTAAAAAAAGGGCAGGCCTTGTGAAAACATTTCCAATAAGGCACAAAATCTCCTGCCAAGTAAGTAACAAAGCACCCCATTCTAATTATCTGCAGTTCCACTGGTACATTTCAACACCTGAAAGAATTACCTGGTCTCAGTCAACTGTAGCACTTTGCAACTTTCATTAGTCCATCTGTTCTGCCTTATAGTTAGGGTTCAACCAGATGTTCAAATAAGATAACACGTTATCTGCTGGTTGGAAACCTTAAAGAACAGTGATGCTTCCTGTATTTTCTATGGCTTTGAACAACAAGTCATTTTTTGGGAGCTGATTCTGGCCCTGCGGAAGCCACCACACACCATCACTGCAGAGTGCAATGCTCTCTTAAAGCACTAAAAGAGAACTTTTTTCCCTCCCCACTGAGCATATCTGAATTAAAATAATGCCTGGCCACACCATAGCTGCTGCTGCTGTCAATTTTACAGTCTCCAGGAACACCCTGGAAGCGCTTGGGGGAAGACACAGCTTTATTTCTGTTCAGGATGCAAGGTGGGTAATCACAACTCAAACACCTCAAGCCTTCACAGCCAGCTCTCACTTCACAGCCCCAGCTCCTTCCCTGCTGCACAGGTCGCCAGCCACTCTGTCCCAAACCAGCAGCACTGCATGGGGCTGTTGTGGCCAATGCACAGGACCCAGCACCGGGTCTCACTGAACCTCATACAATTGGCCTCAGCCAATCCAGATCCCGCTGTAGTCTTTCCACTCTCAAGCAGTTCAACACTTCCACCCAACCTGGTGTCATTCACAAACTTACTGAAGGTGCACTGAATCTCCTCATCCAGATCATCCATAAGGTTCTAAATTCAGTAAGTTTCTAAATTCACTTCTGCACACAAGCAAAAATAACTGGTGTTTTATCCCTAGCCATGATTTATTTTTCCCCAGCATTCCTCACTCTTTACGCTACATCAGCTACCAGAGCTCTTCTCAGAATAATTACTAAGAAGTGATTATTTGCAGTCTCACTAAAACTCATACCTTCAAACATAGCAAAAACATTACAATATAGTTAGCATTACTTGCTTCTAGAACAACACCTGTTTCTGCACAGACTCTGACCCTGTGCTGCCATCCTCTTCATTACCAGCAACCAAAAGCCATCCACACTAAGTGATCATCAGTCATTCAACATCAACAACCAAATAAACAGAATGAAGCATGTGAATTACCACATGAAACACTCCTTATTCAAGTGCCTTGTTTCTTCTTAGCACAGAAAGAGCAGAGGCTCAACAATGTGTTACCAGACTGTAAATACTTTTATATTTACAATCCAAGATTCTGGAAAAAAAATTGTTTGGCTTCATCCAAATATTTCATTCATTCAAATGTTTGTTGGACAGCAGTCAAAACAACAGTAAATTTCTATAGGAGGATGTAAGGATAGTAAGGACAGGCAACAGCAATTTTGGATCACCCAAGGGTAGCGTCCCAGCCCAGTAACAGAGGAGGAATCACTTACCCCTTCCTGAGAATCAGGGCTTGCCCAGCGCTCCAAAGGCAGCATCTCCAAGCAGATGCTTCCCTTATGGCTGCCAGCCCTTAAACGAGGTCAGAGAAGGGCAGACCCTGGGCCCACCCCTTCTGGTCACACTGGTGAATTGCTTCCACCTGTGCTCCCAGGGCTGGCTGCGCCCCTGCACCAGGTGCTCAGTCACTGGTTCAGGCCAGTGATCTCCATACAGTGGGAAACATCAATCTGAGATTGATGTTCTGGTCAGCTCAACAGCATTTACTGCTTCACAGTGCTCTTGGCATTTGCTAGAGGATTACTTATTACTCCAAGTAACTTTTCTGACACATCGCCTGTTTTGCAGTGTCCCAGCACCAGCTGCAACAATCAGAACACATAACTCACAGCTAGAACACAAGCAGTAAAGATAAAGAAGCCACAAATTATTTCCTGAACTTTAATATCTTAAGAACAAGCTACGAAAATGTCTTAAGGAAAAAAAAGGGGCTTTCTCTTTTTAAAATGGAATCTTACAAGAAGTCTTTTAACAACTCTGAAAACTTACAAAATATACCCAAGTGCTGATAAAACAGCATTTCTTTTATAATGTGCTTTTTCCCAGTCATGGTAATGAAATGCAAGCATATCAAAAGTGTCATTTGCATCACAAGAACAAACCGCTTTTCTCCATCCCGAGGAACAGTACAAGTATGTTAGGTCAATTTAACTGCAGTGTGGTCGAATAACAAAGCAACATTAAGAACAATGACTTACAAAGACAATACAGGGAAAGCACACAACACAGATCGTCTATCAAGACTTCAGCTGCCACAGCTTAGTACGTGGAAGTGCTTCACCTGGCTTTGTTTCACTGTCTGGTTGTATATTACTGACTTGGGATCAAGCAAAACTTAATAGTTTGCTTATCAAAACATATTTGTTCCTGGTTACAGTTCAGAGCATAAATATGTTCACTTCTCGGATGTCTGGCGTAAACTTCAGACATTACAGCACAGTCAACAAGAAGGAACATTAAACCAGCACTGACTGATTTGGTACGTAACGGAATAAAAAGCAGTTCTATGTTTTCTTCTGTTAACTTCTCCGCAGGAGTGATAACAAGCTGCAGCATCCCTAACTTATCCAGCTACTTGGAAAGAGGCTTTCTGTCTGTAAATAGACAGCACACAGCTAGTACTTTCCCCTGGACTAAAGCAGCTGATCTCTAATAAGCTTCCCTCCCAATATCCCCATATGCACACCAAGTCCAATTCCAGCTATACATCTTACTAAATAAGAGTATAAACCACGTCTGTGCATCTAGACAGGCAGTAAGCCTCCTACATAACACGTCTGGCAGGTCTTTTTTTTTTTAAATATTATTTGCAGAAGCCAGACCTTAAAGGCAGTGTATATTTAAATAGCACAAAAATAATCGATAGGAACAAAACGATCAAAACATTGTCTCAGATATTCAAAATCTCCCACTCTGCATAGAAAAGAGCTTCAAAATCAGTATACAAATCAGAACTTGGATCCAAACATCCAGTAAGTATTTACTCCCAGAACAAGCTTATTAGGTGCAAGTATAAGTGTGTGTCCTGGCAAATGTGTTCAGAGTTTGAAGGTAAATGTTACAGGTGCATCCATCGCTACATTTCAAGAGACAAAACCCGTTTGGTGCATGTAAGCAGGCTGTAACACTGCTGATGGAACGAAGAACAAACAAGGAAAGCACAGCACACCAGTCACAGTTCTACAGTGCTGTGTGAGAAACAGGCAAACTGAGGGTTCTCTTCTCAAATTCATAGAAGAAATGCAAATATATAAACCCCGCATATTGTTAAGAACAAACTGAATAAAGCAATCCTTTCTTCACTACACACAGACATAACAATGCATTTACAGTATTTACAATTTTCAAGAATTCTGGATTTTTTACATTGCTTGCAGAAACCAAGTATTCCTCAGGTTGAAAACAAACAGCTACACAGTAGCTTCAGAAACCACTCAGTATAGCAGCAGTTTCTGAAGCAAGTCAGGTTACCAATTCCAACGTACATCCCATGATGTAAAGAGCACCTTTACATTATATAAAGCCACTCATTTCACCTAAGTACCCCGTTATCTGTAGGATATCACACCAACCACAGGTGTTTTATACATGCTAGAAACTGCTCATTTTCACAGTTTTCCAATTTAGGTAATAGAACCAAGTGAGCTGCAGTCCTAATGGCTGCTGCTGTCACTGCAATAGTATTAACAATTTCCCCTCGTGTATTTTCATTAGCAAGCAAGTGTATTATCACATGTAAAACTATATGAAAACATCCATATTCAGATGTACTTTATAAGTTCCCAAGTTAAGATGGGCAATCTTCTAGCCTGCACCCATGAAAACTGTTTATGAAAGCTGCTGCTTAAAGCAAGAAAAAAATACAATAGAATGAATATGGAAAATGTTAAAGAAACATGAAAACTGTAATAAAAATCTGCAGACAAGGAAGGTAGTACTTGTGTTCAGACCTTCTTTTTCTAAGTTAAAAGTAATCAAGGAACCCGTTCTGAATAACAGCACCGAAGAGAAAAATTGAAGACTTCACAGTAACACACACCTTTAGTGTCTTTTTTTTATTATTATTACAATATTTTCTGAAAAAATAACAGGGATTCAAAAATTGCAGACTTTAGATGGGAAGAATAT